TGGCTTGGGCTTGTTGAATAATGATTCTTAATCTTTCCCTGTTGGCTTGGCTGGTCTTTTTGTTTTTAATATCGGCTAATACTTGGCTCTTAATGATTTCTATTTCTTCCTGACTATTACTGCAGTCAATTTTTTCTTTTCAGTGGCGATTATCAGGTTCTAAATCCGTGTTATTAAGGGAACCTTTTTTAAGGTAATCATTAATTAATTGGATAGCTCGGTTTTTGTATTCGGAAATATTTTCGGTTTCTGGTGGAGAGTTATTATTGTTATTATTGTTATTATTGTTATTATTGTTATTATTGTTATTATTAGGCTCGGCTTTTTGAATTATCCTTTTCAAAATTGCTTCTAATTCCTCGTGCGTAGCAAAACCGTTTAAGCCTTCTATCATTATCATTCATTCCAAGTTGTCACAATTTCTCCTATATTTTCTCACATCATTAAAAATTTTCTCTATTAATTCCTGGATAGAAACTGGAAAATCATCGAAGTTAGGACCAAGCGGATTATCATACGGTTTGACTTCCTCGCGGTCATACTCCGCAAACTTACCCTCTCTTTTAGCACGGTGATAATTACAAACTCCATTCTCCACTGTCGCCCAGTGTTTACCACTTCCCCTTTGAAAAATGTGATTATTATAACAATGTGGCTCTTTACAAACTCGGTTATCAGGAAGTAATTGTTTTAATTCCTTAAATTGCTCTTTGGTGAAAAAGTGAGGGTGAAGTCTAGCTAAGGTTCCGTTTTTAACAATGTCGCGAATATAACCAGCCGCCCTTCCTTTTACTTTAACATAAGTTTTCACATTGTTTTCTCCATCATGGGTAGCGATTCGATTGTTCCAATCAGGGTCATCATCAGCTTTGTCAGGCGACCACCAAGGTCGCGGTTCTCCGGGTGCTCCAAGATTACCATGTCATAAATCCTCACTCAAAGAGAATTGAGAAGAATTGTTGCTTATATATTGCTTAATAGCAGTAAAAATCTCCTCCGAATTTTCGAGACTTTGTTTTCAAAACCCTTCAGTCTCACCTTCACTCCCTACACTTGTAGATCAGATTTGACCTACACTGTCGGTTTTCACGCTAAATCCATTATTTATTCAATCAAGAACTTTTTGTTGATTTTCTTGTTTTTCTTGTGCTACTTCTTGCTCGCTTGTTTCCAATATAAGTTCTACTCTAGTTTTTTCAAATCTTAACACTCCACTTGTTTCTGCAGCAAAAACAGGTTTATCAGGAAAGTAAAAGGTAATTTTTCTCCCCTTGTCTTGGTTGCGGGGTTGAAGTCCAGGTCACTTTATATCGCAATTGTTATTAACAAAAACCTTTTTAATTGCTATTTCTTTTCCGCCTAATTTAATCGTAACAAAAGCATGTAAATCAAATAAATCCC